TGTGAAATACCTTATTACAGCTTCGATATAACATAATGAATAACCGATAATAACTACTTAAATACACCAAGACCTTGATCAAAAAATTAACGTAAAAAAAATTGTATTTGAGTGCTGCCCAATTAAAATCTGGAGCTAAACTTAGAAATTAACTATGATCAGTTACTGGTTTTAATTAGAAGCACTCATTTCCTTATTTTGTCAACGAATTATTAAGATCATTATCACCAAAATACTAGTAAAAATTATTAAAATTTAATTACAATCTATATATCTTTTTTTGTTTCCTTTTTCCTTTAGAAAAAAGAACAATCCTTTTTGATTCACAAAGAAAGGCAAATATATGGTCAAAAAAAACAAAAACAACTGAAATACAAATACAAATATGATGAACGAAATAATTAATCGATCAGTCTTTTTCGTTGGAAGAATTTCTTGAGATAGATAATCTGCCAGCAACCTAAGCAAATAAGTACAAACATGGTACCAAGACTGAACCACTTGACACGTTCGTTTGTAGATTCTTTTAAAATTAATGGATATTAATATTAATGCGATGAATATACCTAAAAAAAATAATTCTAGAGATTAAAATACCATTTGTATCTCTCATTCTAGCCTCTCGTTTCCGTAGATATTCCATTTCGTCTACAATTTCTTGCACCACTTGTTCCAATTTTCGAAGTTCAGCTTCCATAGGTTTCAATTTTTCGAATTGATTAGGATCTATGGCTTCCGCTCCTATGTCTATGTCCAGATCAATTGTACGATGAAATTGCGGATTGGCTTGAAATCCTTTAATTTGAAAAGACCTTAGTATTTAAAATTGAGCAACAATTTTATTAGAATGTATAATTCGTAAAACTTACCTTCATCCAATGTATTTGTAAAGCAAACTGATACATCCGCATTGGCATGTGTCGTAAAAGCCAAACGAGTTTCTTCAGTAATATCCCGTTTATGACCATATTTATTCATCGCATCGCTATTATCGGTTACCTAAATTTTTGAACGTGTTAGTTCTATTCACATCAAAAAAGCATTAAGACATTTAGGCTCAAGACTTGTTCACTTTACCTCGACATCTATTTTTTGATTATACCCAACCCCAACCTTCATTGTTACTACTACAAGTGTATTAGTAGTTACGTATTGCGAAACGCATTTTGGCACTACACTATATTCTGGTACCGCTGAAAGATCAAATTTTATGCCCCATACTATAGATGTCGAAAAAGCATATAAAAGAAATAGAAAGAAAGAAAATTGATATGACATTCTAATGAATAATGTAACGAGGACCAAGTTTTGAAAAAAAACCACTAATTGTGATTGTATATCAATTCAAAACGTAGCAACAAAAAAAAAAAAAAAAAAAATTTAGATTGCCGTTGCCAGGAATCGAACCTGGGCTAGCGCGGCCACAACGCGATGTACTGCCACTATACGACAACGGCATATAATCACATGAATTGGCTTTTTTAATTAATTTGTATAAAAATATGCACTGTAAATGCAGTCAGGGATTTTACCAAATATGGGGGACGTCTAAAGCGGAGGCAACTTATATTTAATAATTTTTTTCGATTAATTTAGGGTTAGGGTCTTCTATATTG